GATTTTCTCAAGAGTAAAGAGCCTAAGTCTCGAAGTAATTCCTTCGTATTGCCGAGATGAGAAACAATGTTTATTAAGAAGATTTTCATGATTTTTTGGTTAAAATGTTATTCGAACCTCCGATATCCTATTTTGCTTTTTTATTTACCACTATTTTATCTAAGAGCTTTTTACACAATATTTTGTTTACCTATTATTTATATCACTGTTCCTCTTATTCTTATCGCCCTCATCGTGATTATTTTACTATCATTGACCCAAAGATCCGTGCCCTGATGGTGAGGAATTGACGTGGGTTAATTTAGTTTAGCCAGTATACGAGGATGGGGATTTCCTTTGCAGCCCTAGTCCTCCCATGCCCGATATTTGAATTAAACTGCTTAGTAAGCACGCTCATCCAGAGTCGGCCCCGGCCTTGATCTAGGTAGACTTCCACTAGTAGCCACAGTAGGTCTGGAGACAGTACATTAACAATTGTAGTATTTAGCTTGGCTCTTGTAAATGGACAATACTTGTGACACCTTGCCTATTCTAAATCCTCCAATCAACATTTGCATTCTTTATCAAAGTGCCGATTCTGTTATATTAGCCTGTCTTTCCCAATGCATTATGACACTTCATCGATGTATGTTATAATGAGATTAAATGTCATCACAAATTTAGGTTTTAATTAAGTTTTAGGATATGAACCTGAGTTTTCAAAAGGATAGATAAAATGTCCTGTAAAAATCAGATTCCGCCGCAATATTCGTATGTGTTTCAATGACAATCACTTTATCATACACAGCCTAATGATGGAACGTTGACCTTGAGGACTTGGTTGTTCGTCAAGAGTGACCTGCTTGCAACTTTGATAACTTGGAGGAAATATATACATATGATTTGGCCGCAACTAAGTATAAAGAGGGCATTATTTTCTGATTAGTCGAGATTATCATCGCATAAGGCAGGAGAAGTATTAAAGAAGAGCTATAGGTGTTGAAAACGGATGGCGATGGTAGGTTATATGGCTATATTTTGATACTACAGAACCCTCATTAAATGGAAAGTGTTTAGAAAATTTGTAAATATCTAAAACTCTAGATATATATATGCTGTCAAACTAGACTCTAGAAATTCCCTGTTTAAAAGTCGATTTACTCTCAAAAGCGAGGAAATAAAATTTGTTTTATGCTGAATATCCTTATAATGAGATGTATTCACCCTATTTCGTGTAAGGTGATGAAGGACTGGTAGTAGAATTTTCCCACA